GGACACTCCCAGGGATGGATTTGCCCAGGAGGGGCTGCAGGAACTCCATCCCAGCCTTTGCCATGCTCCAGAGGAGGAATAAACCCATCCCTGCCCTCTGCACTGGGAATTCTCGTCCTGGAGCTGCCCCTGCTGCCTCCAGGGGTGTTTGGGGCTGGGACAAATCCTGCTGGTCCCAGTGGCAGGGGAGCCCTCATGGCCCTGTTTTTCCCAGAATCCCAAACTGGTTTGGGTTAGGAGGGGCCTTAAATCCCACCTGATCCCACCTTTTCCATGGCAGAGACATCTCCCGCTATCCCAGGCTGCTGCCAGGACAATTCCAGGGATCCAGGGGTGGAGAGGGAAGAATTCCTGCCCAATATCCAGCCCAAAATATCCATCCCAAACCATCTCCTGGAATCCTGGAATGCCTTGGATTGGCAGGGACATAAATCCCATCTCATCCCAACACTTCCTATGGTCCCAGGCTGCTCCATGGTGGCCTTGGACACTTCCGGGGACAGAGAGAGAAGAATTCCTGCCCAATATCCAGCACAAAATATCCTTCCAAACCAGCTCCTGGAATTGTGGAATGCCTCGGATTGGGAATCCCAAACTGGTTTTTGGTTGGGAGGGGCCTTAAATCCCATCTGATCCCACCCTTTCCATGGGCAGGGACAGCTCCTGCTATCCCAGGCTGCTCCAGCCTGACCTGGGACACTCTCAGGGATCCAGAGGCAGAGAGGGAAGAATTCCTGCCCAATATCCAGCCCAAAATATCCTTCCAAACCCGCTCCTGGAATTGTGGAATGCCTTGGGTTGGGAGGGACCTTAAATCCCCTCTCATCCCAACACCTCCCACAGTCCCAGCAAGGCCTGGGACACTCGCAGGGATCCAGGGAGACCTGTGGGTCCTTTTCCCTGGGATCTGAGTTTCCAGGAGCCCCTCAGAACCCTTCCTGCCTGTCCATGCCCACAGGTGGATCCCATGTTCCAGAGAGCAGCCGCCTCCTTTGACGAGTGCAGCAGTGCRGGCATTTTCCTGACGGGGCTGCACACCCAGAGCTTCCAGAGCCGCCTCCTGTTCGCTGCCAAGATCRTCCCCCTGCCCTCCTCAGAGTCCCTGACCCTGCCCAGCTCGGATCCTGTCAGAGTGGCAGATCTGAAAGGTGAATTCCGGCCTTTTTAATCCATTTTCTGTGCTTTTCCTGCTCCTCGCCAGCTCCTTTCAGTGTTTTCCTGGGTGATTGTTCCCTTTGGGCACCAGGGTTCTGATCCTGCTCAGGCTGCTGGAAAAGTGGGAATTCTGCGGGTTTGGGGTCTCTCCCTGGCTCCCAAACTGCAGGGATGCGGTGCCAGCTGGGCAGGGTTTGGGATTGGTGTGGGATTTGGGAGTGGTGCAGGGTTTGGGATGATTGGGACAGGACTTTGCATTGGTGCAGGACTCAGGGTGGCTGGGGCAGGGTTCAGGATTGGAGCAGAGTTTGGAATGATTGGGACTGGATTTGGGATGGTTGGGGCAGGGTTTGGGATCAGGGCAGGATTTGGGATGGTTTGGACTAGATTTGGGATGCTTGGGGCAGGGTTTGGAATGGTTGGGATTGGATTCGGGATGGTTGGGGCAGGATTTGGGATCTGGGCAGGGTTTGGGATTGGTGCAAGGTTTGGGATGATCGGGGCAGG